TCACCCTGTTGAAGGTGTAGCATTTATATAAATTGAGAGTCCTCTGCATGAGATATCTCTCTCTCGCTCGCTCGCTGTCTCTCTTTGTCTTACTATGTAGTTAAGCAGATATGACAGAGACCCTCTCATGTCTCCTACCTTCTGTTTTGGCTTTTTTTTTTTGGGGGGGGGAGTGTACTGGGAGTCAGACTCAAAGCCTCATGCTTGCCAGGGGATATGCTGCTGAGCTATATCCCCTGCCCTTTGCTATGTAGTTTAGGCTGACCTCGAACTCACTATGTAGCCCAGGCTGGCCTCGAACTCGTGGCAGTCCTCCTGCCTCAGCCTCCCTCCTGGGTGTTGAGAGTACAGGCATTTGCCACTCACTACCGCCGGCTCAGACTTGTGTCTTCTTTGCTATGTCACTGTGCAGCCATCTATACCAGTGGGAACTCATGGGTATCTATTGTATGATTTGGAGAATTCATTACTGTTTGCTTTTGTTGCTCAGATTGTTTCCGTTTCGGATATTGGGAGATCCTTTGGTTGCCTCCTGCATTCCCTGGGCATTCTTACTGTTTTTGAGCACTCTTCCTCTGACTCAAGATGCTCCGTGCTCATATTGTATATTTCTTGCCTTAGTCTTAGCAGAAATCTACCATTTCCGCAAGGATCCCTGTTTCCTTTTATTGTAAGACAGTATTAGAAGCCTAGATCCAGGTAGAGCGTATAATGAAGACATTATTTCCTTCACACAAATACACACAGACACACAGACAGACACACACACAGCTGTAGCAATAAGTGGCCAAAAGTTGTCCTGTTCTTGCAACCTTCTTAAAGTTTGAATTCTGTAAGTGACATAGATGAGCAAGAATGGAAGGAGCATGGTAGTACAGAGGGGTGGGGTAGAAAGCCCAGCTGCTGCACAGGTCCCAACTCTGCGTGGATCAGACCAGTGATCCTTACAGAGGGCCACTGAAAACACCATTTGAACAGTGTGTGTGTGTGTGTGTGTGTGTGTGTGTGACACACACACACACATGTGCTTGCCTATTTATTTACTGCCTTTTTGTGACAGGGTCTTGTTAGGTCGTTCAGGCTGGCCTTGAGCTTACTTTGCAGCTGAGGCTGGTCTTGAACCCTCAGTGGGACCAGCCTCCTCAGTGCTGGGATTATAGGCCTGTATCACCATGCCCGGCCATTGAATTATTTTTGTATGTATAATAAAGATTGTGGTTGAAAATGATGAGGACTTTCCTGAGAAATCATTCAAATTTAGTTCCAGGAAAATTGGCCTCAAGATAAATCTGTACTCTTTCATTAGAAAACAAATAAGTGTAACTAAGTTTTTGTTGTTATTGTTGTTAGTCTTTTAATCTTGGCTTCTGGAAAACTTAAACCAGATTTATTGTGCAGGTATCACTTGCTCACTTCAAGTTCTTGAAACACATAGTTATTTCTTCCTCTAGGTGAATGCTATTCTGTTTTATTCCTACTTTATTGATCCTAGCTACTTAAAGATCTCTTTGAAGTAGGAAGAGAGAGTATTATCTTGGCTCTTTGGCAAAGGAATTGGGCTGGCTGCAGGAGCTGGACCTGCTGAAGAGCTTGTATGCAACCGCTGCGAAGAGTGGCTCAGGAAAAGTCTAGTTCTGAATGGTTTACTTTCTTAGGAACCTGTCTTCTCACTTACTTGACAATTTCAGTGTGTTTACATACTTTTGGCATAAGCTACTCTGCATTACAATTAACACTTTTCTCCCTTCTTTTAAGCTGTGAACTTTGATTTGATTTTTTTCCTCCAAAAGGTGTTACCTAGAAACAAATTTTTTATTACTTCCCATTCTTTGATGTCAGATGGGGAAATTTTATAGGTTGATATTACCTGTGGTCAACTTTATGATCCAAGTATTTTTATTGTTAAAATGATCTTTTAGGGCTTGCTGTTAATGTTGGTGAAAGCAGCAGTTTTTCAGTCTATTACCAGGGTAGCACTCTATGAGAATTTAAGAAGAAAAAGTGAAATCTCTCAATTCTTGAGAAGCCAGATGATCTTTCAAGGTAATCTGTAATCAGAACATTTTAATTAAAGGAAATTAAAAACCATCATTTCAGTATATTAGAGTTTGCCAGCTCTAGTTAGTCACTGAGTTTGTCCCAGTTTCCTATACCCTAATTTTAGTTACCCCATGGTTTATGTAATGGTACTGAGGTTAGGGGATGTGATTTTTTTTTTTTTTTTTTTTTTTTAAATTTTATAAGACTAATAATGTTGGGGCCGGGGAGATGGCTCAGTGGAACAAGTGCTTCCCTGGCAAGTGCAAGGGCCTGAGTTCAATCCCCGGTTATGGGAAAAAAAAAAAAAAAAAAAAAACTAATAATGTCAAGGCCAGCAAGATAGCTCAGCGGACTAACCTCCTGCTTGGGCAATTACAGGGACCAGGTTTGATCCCCAGCACCAAATGCTGCACCAGCCCTGCCCCCAGGCGTGCTGAGCCAGCAACCCAGTCCAGGCACGGTGGCACACACCTGTAATCCCAGCGCTGGGGAGGCTGAAAACAGGAGGATCACTGAGTACAAGCTACACAGTGAGACCCTGTACCGAATACATTAAAAAACAAAGCAAAACAAAAAAAAAGACCAAAAAAAGAGAGACCAATAATGACTTTGTTCCTAAATAACTGAAAAGTTAACATGAACTAGATAAGAAACCTACTCATTTTAGAAAAATCTTAGGATATGTTAGAACATCCCACAGCCTGTATAATTTAGGACCATCACAAACTAGTTCTAGGAGGTAAATTTCATATTGACAAAAGACTAGTGGTTGGGGCTGGAGAGATAGCTCAGTAAAATAAGCACAACACACGGGCTTGAGTTCAATCTCTGGTTCCACCTAAAAATAAAAATAAAAAACAAAAGGCTAGTGGTGAGTCCCTTGCCTTCAGCCTGTAAAAACACAATTATCTTTGCCTTAGAATAAATCTAATAACTTTGTAGATGTCAAAGAACAAAGGAAATGGTTTTTCTGTGACTGTAGTAGTTCTTTAGTACTACATGGTAGAGGAAATGTAAACAGTTTTACTCCTGAGTATATTTTGGAGGTATGGATTGTTATGGATTTTTTTTTTTTCCAAAAAATCATGGTGTACTTTGTAACTCATTTTGAAAAGCACTCCATGAAGAATTTTTTTTAAATCAGTGCTTTAATAAGAGTTATATGGAAAAAAAAAAAGTTATATGACCTGGATTTAGGCCATTTTATGATCTCAGACTGTTTCTTAAGTTAAAAGCAGTTTTTGAAGGACTTTTTTAATATCTTGGGAGAAAATAAAAAGATCATAATCTTTTTCTAGGAAATAAGGTGGTTAGACAAATGTGTACCAAATCTTGAACACCCTGTTAAATTGAATTAATTGGCCTGGGCTGGTGGCCTGGTCTCTTTCCTGAGAGAGGAGAGGATATGTATGGTGATTACTTTGCACTAAAGTGGTACCTGTTCCTGCTGTCTCCAACTGACTCACTTCACTTATACTTCAGTATTTCTACCAAACTATAACTTTCACCTTCTTCCTTAAGAATTCAACTTTTGAGACAGGGTCTTGCTATTCAGTGCAGGCTGGTCTTGAACTCACTGTGTAGCCCAGGTTGGCCTTAATCTCACAGTGATATTCCTGCCTCAACCTTCTGAGTGCTGGGACTGTAGGCATGAGCCAGCAAGCCCCACCTAAAGAATTAAACTGAAGTGAGCAAATGTAAAAACCTGTTCTACCCAAATTCACCATGGAGAAATCCTATTTCTTTGGGTTGGGTCTTCCCCAGAATTTTTTTTTTTTTTTTTTTCCCAGTGCAGGGTCTACAGGGTCTCACTATGTAGATTGGACTCATGGTGATCAGCCTGTGTTCAGCCTCCCAAGAGCTGGGATTACAGGGTGCACCACCATGCCCAGTCTCAATTGCCTTCTCAGTGCACCACGGGGGCAGGGCCAGCATAGCATGCTGTGGATCATACCCCAGCCACTGTGCTCTGCCTAAACAGGCACTTTAGTCCATTGAGCTTTCTGGCCAGCCCTTGGGTTAAGTTTTTGGTTTTGAAAAATTCTGTGTTGTCTTCAACTTTTATTCATAAACATCAAATTCCAGTTTAGTTTTTCACATCAGCTTGAAAGGTGAAAGTCTGTTATTTCTGCAGTGTATAGCTTTTTGAACTCCCTCTTCACTTAAGAGTTGCCAGTATGCTTGCTGGAGGCTGCAGGATAGGGAAGTGAGTATCAGGGTGGGAGAAATGATTATGCCAAGGAAAGGAGTGGCAGAGCACATTGCTTTGGGATTTGACTAGTTCCTAGACTTTCCCTCTCCTGTATGTGTGTAACTAAGGTTCTCAAATAGTCCTTTTGTATGCTGTTTCTCTTGATTATTTATTTATTTATTTTTTTAAATTTTATTTGTGTGTGTGTGTGTGTGTGTGTGTGTGTGTGGCCAGCTCAGCTCAGCCCACCAGGGGGCGGGGCTGGCTGGCATGTGGTGCTGGAGGATTGAACTGCGGTCCCTGTGCTTTGCTAAGCTTGTTCTAAGTAGGTGCTTTAGACCACTGAGCCATCTCACCAGCCCCTCTCTTGATTATTTAGAAAAAAAAAATAGCCAGTGATCAGGAGTCCTTTATGAATGTTCAGGACTAAATTTTGCCTTGAAAATTGTTTAGCTATTGCTGACTTAGGGTCTCTGTCTATCAGCGGGTGAGTGCCCGCTGCTGGCTCTGTGGTGGAGAATGCAGACTGAGCAGTGCTGTGTTCTACTTGGAAGCATTCTTCAGTTCTCATTTCCAAAATGATGCAAAAAATCCAAAAATCATTTTAGTTTCCCTGGCTTCCGTGCATTCCACCTGAGGCCCTCATATTTACTGTCTCTTCTACCCCAAATATCTTTACCCCATTCTTCCTGCAGATAAACTTGATTCTTTAGGATTCAGGTTAAATGTTATATGCTCTTTGCTCCTAGTTCTCACTTTTTTATTTTAGATCACAGATTCTGCCGGCCACATTCTATACTCTAAGGAGGATGCATCCAAGGGGAAGTTTGCCTTTACCACTGAAGATTACGACATGTTTGAAGTATGTTTTGAGAGCAAAGGTAAGCACTAGCTCAAATGTCTCCTCTAGATTAAGCCTCTCTTCTCCAGCTCTGTAATGTCCTGCACTATAGTTTGCACTTAATTTCATTTTGTTTATTCTATCATGGAATCCTGATGCCTTACAGCCTTTGGAGCATCTTTTAAAGGATTATTGAGGTAGGGTAAAAGATTGACCAAAAACCACACACACACACACAAATACACAAGCCTTAAAAAAAAGAAAAAAAGATTGACCAAGTGAGGGCCAGGGAGATAGCTCAGTGGCATAAGTGCTTGTCTGACAAGCACAAGGTCCCAAGTTCAATTCCTGGGGTGGGGAGGAGAGGATTTCTAGGGTTAGTACAATGAAAATAGTCTGTGTGATATTGCAGTGGTGGCTGCTCATCACTATGCATCTACCCCAACATCACACTTGGAATGTACACCTAATGTATGCAGTGGGAGCTGAGGAATAATGTTGGGTCAGTGTAGTTGTATCATTTATAGTCCAGCGCCACTCTGGTAGGAGATGTTGACATGTCAGAAGCCATGTGTGCACGTGGGGTACGAAGAACTAGGACACCTCTGTACCCACCTTTCCATTTTGCTGATAACCTGAAACTGCTCTAACAGTTAAATCTTTTTTGAGACAGGGTCTTGCTGTGCAGTTCCCGTTGGCCTTGAGGTCACTCTGTAGCCCAGGCTGATCTCGGACTTGCCGCGGTTCTTCTACCGCAGCCTCCTGAGTGCGGGCATTACAGATGTGTGCCACCACATCCAGCCCAAATCTATTTTTGTTTTTGTTTTTTAAATTATCTATTTACCAGGCATATGCAAAAGCAGCTACAGCATTACTGGAAGGGTCTTTTTACAGAGGAAGTCTGTCAAGGCCTTGATGTCAGTGAGCTAAGGGGATATGCTGCCTATGTAGTCTGGCCCCAGACCAATCAGAGGTCTGTTTGTGGTTATGTGGTTTCAGCTGGGTTTTTTGTTGGTAGTGTGTTCCAACAGAGAGACTGATGACCAGAAGACTGTTGTGAGGCAGGGAGTACTGATTGTTTGGATCAAGTAGGCTGGGGGCTACTCAGATTCCACAATTTTGTAAATGAGGAAGAAAAAACGCAAAGCTTGCATTTCATCTCTGGATAATGTCATAATCTGGATTACACTTTGGCTTTAGAGGAGATTGTTCTAGGTGCCATGTTTGGTTTGGCTTACCATGGTTTTGTTTGTTTCCGAGACTTGTTTAATGTTCAGAAGGCATCTGTGACTTAATTTTAGTCTGTTCCTAATCTTACATATATAGTCTTAATTCTTTTGCTTTAAAATTGGCTTTTGTTTAGCATGGTGGTAAGTGCCTGTAATCCAACACTTGTGAGGCTGAGGCAGGAAGCTCATTACAAGTTTGCGAGCAGACTGGGCTACAAAGTGAGCTCAGGCCCAGTGTGAAGTGCATAGTGAGACCCTGTCTCAAAAAGACATAAACAAACAAACCTTTCTAGCTAGGGACAGTGGAAAACACCTGCAGTCTCAGTGGGAGGCTAAGCCAGATGCTCACAGCAAGTTCCAGGCCAGCCTGGGCTACACAGTGCGTTTAGACCAGCCTGAACCATATAGAGAGATCCTGTCTCAGAAAAGAAAAAACGAAAGAAAGAAAAGAAAAAGAAATTTACCTTTGCAGCCCACCCAGAAGTTCTTCACTGTTGTTTTGGGTTTTGGTCCTTTGAAGTAGGGTCTCACCCTGTATCCAGGTTGGCTGTCTTCTAATAGTGAAGCCTTTGCCGATGCTTTGTCGTCTGTCTAAAGTATTTTGTTCAAGTCCTACTTTGAACCAGGTGTTCCCTCCCTCCTTCGTGAAATCAGTTCATAACTCATCTCTTTCCTCTTCTTTGCTCCATAGCTGGGATTGACCGAACCAGTTATTTTGGCTTAAAATTTTACAGTGCTTTTGCTGGGCATGGAGGCATGTCCCTGTAATCCCAAGTGCTTGGGAGGCTGAGGCAAGAGTACTGTAAGACAAGTTGCCCCGGGGCAATCTGATAGACCCTCTCCCAAGATAAAACATAAAAAAGGGTTGAGGTATATAGCTCACTTGCCCAACAGAAAGGACCTTCAGTACTGCTTTCTGGTGCGTTTTCAACAAGGAGCAGGAGTAGTAGTTTGGCTCATTATGTGCTAGAAATTGAACCCGGAGCCTCATGCTTGCTAAACAAGTGTTCTGCTGTTGCACTACATCTCCAATACCTCTTTGTATAAAAAAAGCTGAATATATTTATTGACGGATGGATGGATGGACGGATTGAGAGAGAGAGAGAGAGAGAGAGAGAGAGAGAGAGAGAGAGAGAGAGAGAGAGAGAGACAGTCACCCCTAAGTTGCCTAGGCTAGCCATGAACTTACAGGTTTCCTGCCTCAGTGAGTTCAAGGCCACCCAGAACTGCATAGTAAGACCATATCTCAGGCCAGTGAGATAGCTCAGTGGTCTAAAGCACCAGCTTAGGCAAAGAGCAGGGACAACAGTTTGATCCCCAGCACCACATGCTGCACCAGCCCTGCCCCCAGGGTGGGCTGAACCAGCCACCAAAAAAAAAAAAAAAACAAAAACACCCTAACTCAAATGAAATAAAATAGGGCCAGGGAGATGGCTCAGTAGAATAAGCGCTTGCCTGGCAAGCACAAAGGCCTGAGTTCAATCCCCGGTTCTGCCAAAAAAAAAAAAAAAAAAAAAAGCATTCATGTGAATTATGTTATCACTATAAAATTTTTTTCCTTAAGCTTTTTTAATTTATGGGAATAGCCCTATAACATTTTATTGGCCTTTGAAATAGGCCTTACATTGATCAAAATAATTGAATTAAAAAATTAATTGAATTAAAAAAGTGGAATAGTTGGGCCAGGGAGATGGCTCAGTAAAATAAGCGCTTCCCTGGCAAGCACAAAGTTCTGAGTTCAATCCCTGGTCCCACCATTTTTAAAAAATAAAATAATAATAAAGTGGAATAGTTGTTAAAAGCTATATTTTTGTGACACAAAGGTCTATGATAAGTAAAGACATGTTTAGCATCTGCCCAGTAATCCTTTCGAGCATGGCCTCTCAGTCTTCCGATGTGGAAGTGTGCATCTTCAGCCTAAGCAGGCTCCTGTTCCCTGCCGATCGGTGTGGCGCTGCCCTTCACACGGTTGGGACCTTGGAATTTTAGTTCCTGTCCAGTGGGCCTGTGTGTTTCCTCCTCTAGTGTTTTGCTCTGTAGTTGGTTGCAGTGTCCTACATCCTGCCTGCTTAGATATTTGGCAGCAGCGTGTTCTCCCTGCTTTCCAGCATCCTACACAGATAGAGGCTTTGTCTCAAATACTTACGATTTGAGCCAGAGCCAGGAATTTTCTGCAGCTGAGTAGAGGGAGGAGTTGTGGCTGGTTCCCTCTATGGAGAAGATAGAGTTAGTGAAAGGAAGGGTGGGTGGATGATTTCCCGGAATTTTAAATATCCTACACAATGAATCTTTTGATTTCTTTCTCAGGCACAGGGCGGATACCTGACCAGCTCGTGATCCTAGACATGAAACATGGAGTAGAGGCAAAAAATTATGAAGAGGTATGTGCTGCTGTGGTAGTCGGGGGAGGATGTAGCACGCTCCACCGCGTGAGGTTTCTGTTTAGGCCACTGGCCTGTGCCTTGCCCAGAAGACTGGTTTTCACCAGTCACATGATAAACAGCACGCTCTTATTGATACAGAAAGCTGTTAATAGCCTTGAGTAGTAATAGTGGCTGGCTCTCCACCAAGGGACTGAACAGGCTGTCCTGTACAAATGTCTGTGGGCGTGGTAAAGCCCAAATTTGCTTTTAGCTGTCTTAAGGCAGAACCAAATAGCAGCAGTTAACACTTTTTAAAAGCTGGGATTCAGTTATTTGTTAACAGCCAAGCTAAGAAGTGATTTGTTTTTTATTCCTAAGGTTTTTCCCCCAGAACCTACTACTAACCTACTACTAAGCACAGTCTCAGTGTTCTTCAGTGCTAAACAGTATAAAAAGATAGCTTTCAATTAAAATAATTCCAGCCTTTAAAGACAAGGACAGGAAGGTAGAAAAAAGCTTCAAGAGGCTCAAGACAATGCCACCAAGTAAAGATGGGACACAGACAGGGAGTGCTATGGAGGAGCAGAGTGGCGCTGGTGTCAGTGACTGTGGGGTGGTGGAGTGCCTGGCGAGGGAGAAGGCTGTGCTGGAGTCTGACCCAGGGCTGCCCTCAAGCCACCCAAGTGCTTTACCACCCCAGCCGTCGCTTTTCTCATGTCGGTCTGAGACGGGGAACAGCACAGAATGCTTCTTCAAAGAAAGAGCACCTTTGAGAAACCACAAGGACAATTGAAGAGTATAGAATTGATGTTTACAGAAAGATAAGAATTTTTAACCCAGCTAAATAGTGTCTGAGTCCATGAAGAAGAGGTAGGGTGCAGGAGATGTGAATTAAATAAATGAGGGAACATTGTTTTAAGTGATGAAAGAGAATTCTCTAGAATGATGAAACTTGAGCAGTCAGGACTTTAGAAGGAAAGTGTCCAAAAACAGAAGACTGAAGTGACTGGTGATTTCTGCAGTAGGACCTATGCAGTAGAAGAGCAGCTGCAGCTCTTTGGGTCTTTCCTTTTTTTCCTTGTTCAATTATTCAAGGAAATGAAAGCAAATAAGAGTTATTTGGAGGGCCGGGGAGATGGCTCAGTAGAATAAGTGCTTGCTTGGCAAGAGCAAGGTCCTGAGTTCAGTCCCCAGTACCGCAAAAAAAAAAAAAAAAAAAAAAAAAAAAAAAAAAAAATTATTTGGAGGACTGGGGAGTGCCTGCCTGGCAAGCACAAGGACCTGGGTTCCATCCTCTGTACCACATGCCGTGCTGGCCCTGGAACTTTGGGCTTGCCAAGCAGGCCCCCAAACCAGGTGTGGTAGTGCATGCCTGTAATCCCAGAACTAGGGAGGCGGAAACAGGAGGATGACTACAAGCCCAAACTGCATAACAAGACCCTGTACCAAATAAATAAATAAATAAATAAATAAATAAATAAATAAATAAGAGATTTAAAAAGATTTTTAAACAGAGTTATTTAGAGGTAATAAATAGGAGCATTTGGTATCTGCTGCATGGAGAACCATTCCTGGTAGACTTTGAATTGCTTATTTCTTCAGGCTAGTTTCATTTAAAAAAAGAAAAATAGAGCAGGAGGGCATGTTTATTTGACATATTTAAGAGTTTGAAAAATTTTTTAAACCATCATGAGAAGAATCTTAATTATGTTTAAATAAAACAATATATGTTAAACTGCTGTTGTAAGACATAGAACACAAAGAAAAAGTAGTTATGTAAGGTGCGAGATAAGTAAAATATTTTTAATTTTTTGATTACTATGGCCATTCTCTACCATGACCCATTTTCTTTTTTTCTTTTTTTTTTTTTTAAATGTATCTAGTACAGGATCTACAGGGTCTCACTACACAGATTGGACTCATAGTGATCCTCCTGTTTTCAGCCTCCCCAGCACGGGGATTACAGGCATTCGCTACCACGCCCAGACTCAGTGGTGGGCTCAGCACATTGGCACTGCATGTGGTGCCAGGGATCAAACCCTGGTACGTGCACTTGCCTAAGCAGGTGCTTAGCCCGCAGAGCTATCTTGCCAGCCCTGTGGAGTCTATTAAATAACAGGTACCAGTGCCATTGGCCTTGAGACGTAGCTTTTCCTCTTCCAAAACGGGGCTTTACATAAAGGATGTTGTGCACACCTCTGTTACATATTATAGACCCCTATGCTTCCTGGAATTTTGGGCTTTGGCAAAGGGGCTTTATCTTTTTTGACCTTCTGCTTAACCCAAGAGGGGAATCCCTTGCAGAAAGAAGACCACATTGCTTCCATTGCCTACTTCCTGCTTTGGATGTCTGGCATGTCTTAACCTTTCTTTACGCACATGGTTACAACACAGCTCTAAGGTTCTGCTTCTGAACCAACACAGACTCCTCCCCACCACTTTCCTCAGTGACCCCACTCCCAGCCCCAAACGCCACACCAGACTGAGCAGAGGAGGACAGGGTATGACACATGTTGAAGACAAGTCCTTTCGCAGTTGGTGGCTGGCCTTGCTTGAACCTTGCTTATAAGTAACTGCTGGTTGTCCCTGGCCTAATGCCTGTTGACAAGAACATGGCTAATAGAGGCACTGTGTTCCCTGCTTAACTGCCCAAGAGTATCAAGCGTATGTTGAGTATTAAGGCATTTAATTTTAGGCCCTTGAGATAATGGATTTATCCCCAAAGAATTTGGACCCTTTGGCATCAGTGTTAAGATTCAAAAAAAGAAGATTTCTTTAACTTTCTTCACACCCAACACATCTGTCCCTCCTACATATGGACTCATAATTCAGAAATCACATGTGATCTTGTAAAATTCAGTAGTGTCTTAATGTTGGTGAGCTGTTATTTGAAAGATAAAATGCTTGCCATATTATAGAGAAGCATAAAATCATGTAGTTTGAATTCTTAAAGAAGGAAGTATGCTTATCCCCTCAGAAGTATCTTGATTCCATGTGTTGTGTTGTAAGGGCTCCTGTCCATTTTCTTGCTGTTGCCCTTGAGAAGGCGTCATCTTCCAAACTGAGTATGTAAATCAAGCCTTTTCTTCCTACTTTGAGCTCCATCTGACTGCATTTGGAAAATAGAGGCAGTGAGGGTCCCACAGAGAAACCCTCTGAGACGTCCTCTGCTCCTGAGCTGTGCGTTCCTTTTGCTGTGGGTGTCAGTCAACATTCTCATCACAAGTACCGTTTTGCCTGTGGCATGGCTTCGCCTGTCATTCGCTGTCAGCAGAGACACCAAAATACAGCTCTGAGTGGAACCTCAGCTGAAGACTTTCTAAAAGCTCCCTTTTGCTGACTGCCCTCAAGAAGGAGAAACTCTGCTTCGGTATAGTAGAGCCGCAGTCCCTTTCTTGATACAAGTCCAGTGAAGAACATGCATAAGGCACCTGACACCGAGCTGGTCAGTTTGGTGAATTTCAGCTCTTTTTCTACTACCCATTATGTGAATTACCAAATGTCCATGACAGAATAATCTTTAAAACTTTCCTGCAGCCCTAAGTTTGGCAGTGTAATCTGGGCTTTTTCAACTTTTGTGACTGAACCTGTGATTCGTGTCACCCCTTTACCACTAGGAGCAAATGGATTTGTCCTTGGATGTCCTTCTGTTGTCTCTGCCCTGATTGTGTTAGACTAGATGGTCTTTCCAGTTCTTGCTGTGTTTGGAGTTTGTAGAGGCCATGGTGGGGAGTAAATTAGTTGATTGCATTTGACCTGCCTTGAGAATCTTCTCATGTTTTTTATTTGCTTTTGTGGTAGGGATTGAACCCAGGGCTCTGTGTTTCCCAGGCAGGCACTTATTCTACTGAGTTATCTCCCCAGCCCTCAGTTATCAATGAAATACACAGTTTGTAGAGGCCATGGTGGGGAGTAAATTAGTTGATTGCATTTGACCTGCCTTGAGAATCTTCTCATGTTTTTTTTTTTTTTTTTTTTTTTGTGGTAGGGATTGAACTCAGGACCCTGTGTTTCCCAGGCAGGCACTTATTCTACTGAGTTATCTCCCCAGCCCT